GCCTCTAATAGGCATTTACTAACCAATAGCAGGATATCGGCTGGATAAAAGGTGCCTGCTAAACCATCTTTGGCTCTCAGCGGAGAATGGGTAAATTTGTGATTTAGAAGGTGTGGCGTACGACAGAATGTGTGAAGGGCGCATTGCTTGGGTCTAATATTGAGGAATCTTCTTTCTTTCGGAGTTATTTGATTTTTGTGATTTTTCGTTTTTTATTTAATCAGCTGCACCTTTGGCAGCGATTCACGAGGTTGGAACAAGTTAGGCTGTAGGAAAGATTGCAGGGAACCTTGCTGGATCCACTGGTCCTTGACCCAATGTGGATAAAGAGCTTTAGCTTGGGACCTATCGTAATAAAATAAAAATAAAATAGCTGTCCGCCACTCTGCTTTCCAATTTAAATGTAGCAAGTTTCCCTACAACAGGAACTTTACATCTGATTTATAAGTAGTTTGACATTATGCTCACATGCTTAAAATGAATTAAAATAACGCTACGAAGGAAGAAATTGTGAGTTCTTCCATCCAACATTAGTTCATCACCAATTACCTTCTTTTCTAGGGGGAATCTAGTTAGCTAGTTGGATTTCGTCGTAGAACTTCGTCTGCTCGACCCATTTTCCGGATACGAAGGCGCCTTCAGGCGTGCCGAGTATCCATCAGATGCCAGGGTGGGGATATTGTAGTCCACCACGAAGACGGACACGGTTTCTTCCTATACTGCAGTAGAAGAAGTGATCTAGGCTTTTTTCTTCGCCACAGGAGCAAGTCGTTAGGGCATCTTCGTGTACGAAACGACGATAACATTTGGCGAAATCTCCTTGTCCGAAACGAGCCGCATTTAACGCCCCAAGTGCACGTCAGTTAAACCCTTTCAGTTCTGGCGTTATTCCTATTCTAGGACCAATTCCAAGTTCCTTGTATCCAGTGGGGCTTTTCTGAGCTCATTCGGCGGTGGTGGAAGCGCTGTACAACCGTTAAATTTCTCTTTTTGCTCGTGCTATGGGTAGAGGTAGGGGTGGCGCAGTCATTAGAAAAGCTGACTTCGCTAGAACATGAGCTGCTTCATTTCCAGGGATTCCAGAATGTCTGGAGCACCATCTAACACTGACTGCTCCTTCTCCAGTACAGGATGCCCGCGTCCCGTATGACCAGCTAGCTACTAGCTACCGAAATTTTGCAGTTTACGAGAGCTTGTTGCGGTAGGTGTTAACAAGAGAATCCGAAGAGCCGCTTCTTGGTTATCAAGGCAGATAGTTACGTTGAATGCGTAAAAGGCCATGGTATTTTGGAGGCGGCTGCTAGACCCTCTGTTACTCCAGATATTTATACGTCGTATACTCCTGCTGAAGCATCTAGAGGAATGGTTCCGCAGGCATTCTCATGGGTTTCTCCGCGTTGAATTGAGTATCCGGCTCCTGTTTGATTCTCGATCATAGCGCCGTCGGAGAAAACAAAGAGGTCCATCAAGGGTTGTCGTGTAAACCGTTGAGTGAAGGAATCGAATCCCGCTATTAGGCTCACAGCGCCTATATTTTCCAAACTTCCATCGCGTCCAACTTCCCAAGAGGGAGGGATATCTTTTCTCTGGATCAACCACAATTTCCATTCTTGTGCTAACTCTCACGCTGTGAATATTCACGTGAAATTAACGTAAAGGCATCCTCTGTTAAATTTACAGAAGGGTTGGTCAAACATAATCATCCCTACAATTTAACGTGATGGAGTTAGGGTTATGGTTATTGGTTGCCTGGGAGTTAAAAAGGGTAAGGCGTCTGTTGATTTTATATACCCGGTATAAGTAGTTTCATATTAGCGTGTGGATGAGACTAGGAGCGATAGATTAGAGGGTGCGAGATCGCGATACTTCTATTAAGCGCGTAGACGTAGAGACGAAGACACACGCAACGAGTTAACTCCATACTTTATCAAATGTACTTCCAAGTATTCCTGTGACAGTACTAATAAATTACTGTCCGGAGGGATCATATTTTAATATCCTCCACTTTAACATACATCAAGTGAATCGCACGCACATGAAATGTTAATCGGTGCCACAACCGTGCTAGATTCATTACTGGTGAGAAGATTTGCGTGATAGAATGAGGGAGTGACATTCAGAGAAGGAGACGCTGGTATTAGAGTAATTCTTCGGAGACCTACTCGGGCTCCAAAGATTCCATCAAAAGTTGTTCTCTCGGGAATTGAGCCCGAGGCGGGGCTCGAACCCGCGACCTTGAGGTAGCTAGTGAACAGAGTCATTAAGAGCCACACGCTCTACCGATTGAGCTACCCGGGCGGTGGTGGCGAGGTGGTATACTCAAATATCTTCCTAGTTGTGTGCATGACTATCTAACCGTTGGCCTCATCTTTAATATAGGCCACACCTTGTACAGTGCACCTCGCCTCCTGTATTTCTTCAAAGATCATTGATATATTGACCGTGATCAATAGCCATTCAGCTCAGTGTTGACTTGTGGAATTCGGCCACCTTTTCCACGGAATCTTCTACCCAAAAAAAATAAAATTGGTAGCAATGGAAACTGCGTGCGCGGGAACAAGTCTCCAAAAACCTGCAGCCCCAGCCAGGCGAGACCTAGACACCGGGACCAAATGAGGTGCGCATATTCATCTATGTCTCCCTTCTTTGTGACCGTCGAGGCCAATTTCATCCAATCCACCATCGCCGTATCGGGTGCTGGGTAGGCTCCGGAAACCCATCTGATTGGCTTTTCCTCCATGATCAAGGGTTGGTGATGAGTAGGGCTCCGACCCTACCATCTGATCTGATCGCGGTTAGCTTCATGATTGTGGTGCTAGGGGGGTGTGTTGAGAGATGAAGACGATACAGACCGCGCAGGCGAATGGGAATCCTCGTCGAAGTGGGGACTTTGTTACTCAATCTCGGCTCTGCAGACTCTACAGTGAGAGCTGGAGGTTCATAAGGGACACCACTGATAGGTGTTGAGAATAGTCCCCCCCTTCATAATAGTGTGAAGGACATAATATTGATAAAGCTACTGTTTACTTGCAATTCCTCTTCTCATAACCAAAATAGTAAAAGGAGCCAACAAAATATTACCTGTGATCATTTAAATATTGAGCAATGCAGTACCTTATCTAAGAAAAGTCAAGTACATTTGCCACGACCTAAAGTAGGATTCTCATTGTAACAGCAGTATTTCTTTAAGTCGTGAACAATAATCTAGTGGGCTCTTCCTGAAACTTAAGGAAATGCTATTTTTCTTTTCAGAATATCTAAAGTAGATTTCCATAGTTTCATACTTTCTAATTCAATCATGGATACTTAAGCTCACTTACGTCAAAAACTTATGGAATTGTGATACATTCATAGCTATACGCTTCATACTTCACATTGTACCAGATGTTCGGATTGATAGCCACCGTTAAAGTTCAGGGACAAAATATGCAGAAATTCACACCCACAAGAGAATCTCTTTATTTTTTTCTCACAGCCCACAAACCTTGTATATTTACTAAACATCTTTGTAAATCATACTGTATATAATGTAACTAATTCTGGCTCAGATGACAAGTAAAGACTGTTAAATTTCTTGAACCTATTCATGTTTTACCCCTAGCATTGGTATTTCGAAGTATCGGATGAGGACCCTACTACTTTCTGTTTAGAAACTAAAGTCTTCAACTATTTTTGAGTGGATATTACTTTAAATTTCCTTTTGCTAAAATGGATTTTTTGAATTTGATTTCATTTAACTCGATCAGACACCCTATGGGTCCATGCAGGTGACTATCTTCATTATTTACAAAGGGGGAAACCAATTTGGTGAAAACCCCCTGATCCTGCCTGTTTAATAGCTATCAAACTTTCCTAGTTTACCTTCAGGAAGTGCATTTTACACTGTCAAGCCAGTGTGGACTCCGTTCTCTGCCCTTCCTGATCGATTCATTTTTCCGACATTGCTGCCTCCACTTCCCCCGCAAGTCGAAACTGTTTTATCCATCCTTTGCTTAGTATCCACTGTGTGATTCGAGCGACATCCTCTGAACTGTTCATCATTGCTTCAAATGACCTGTCTTTAGCTTGTCGGAGAACATCGCCTCTTCCACTTGCCCACTGCGGACACGCCAATAGCATGTGCTTGACGTTCTGTGACGGATATCCACATTGACAGCGAGGGTTTTCTACTCCGGGTACCTTTCTTCTGTATAGGTAAGAATTGAGGCCGATATGCTCGCTTCTTAGCTGAATCGCGACACTGCTTTGGGCCCTGCTCAGGTTACGGTGGATACTTAAAGGTGTACCTCTGAAGTTAATTTTTGTACTGCCTGTTTTTTTGCTAAAATGGATTTCTTTTTGTCTCTAACATGTCCAACGTTTCAGGGTTAAATATTAGTGAAGTTTTGCTTTTTATTCTTATTTTAGACAAGGCCAATAAACTCACTGCTAGTACAAGGATTTTTTTCATACAAATTTTCTTTCGTTAGATGGTTAACACCGCTGTAATTTCTCCCTGACTAAAGCTAAAAAATGGTATCTAGTCCATAGAACTCCTCGTAAATAATGTAGCAGAGACCTGTTATGGTTATTCTCTGCAAGAAGTAAATTAGAAATCTATGAGCCTTAGAGCCAAAAGCTGTGTCAAATTATTTGGCAAGAATTTGTTCTATTTCAGTATCACATCGCTATTGTATAATCTTCCTAAATTGGCGCTAAAGTGTAGTTTGGCAATGCAATCTAATTACATAAAATTCCCAACGACAAGCTTTAAATTTTTTTGATTGATGGAAATCGAGCAATATCCATTTTTTTGTCGGAATGATTGTATTATCTAGAGAGAACGCCATAATCCATTTAGCTGCTTCTTCTCAGATCGTCCAAATGAATGCATTTTTAAGGGGTGTGATGAATGCAAGACGTTTATTACTTCAACCTAAACTTTCGATTTGTTTGGAGAGAAGACACCGAAGGAAAGGCAAGAAAAGCTTTTGTTCTAAACTTCGAGGAAATTTCAAGTGTTATAATTTCTTCATAATTTCTCCTACTGTTCTTGCGGCAAGCTGTTTCCTTTGTATTAAAGGCAAGTCAGCCCCTAAGTCTGTCACGCGTCAATTATTGAACAGTAATGGATCTCTGATCTAATTTGTTTACCTCTTACAGATTGCATTTTTAAAAGCATGGCCTGAAGTTTCTCAACTTCATCATCATGATTCGTGATTGTGTTGTCATTTTCATTCAAATTTCCTTCAACTACGTGGATAGCCTCATTTAGTCCGAGCATTTCGATCTTCATTTGATCAGCTTCAACACGGAGGCCAAGACCCTCATTCTCTTCGTCTTCATCAAGGTCTTCAAATTGTAGCGCACTCTCCAAATGATCTCTACCCTCCCAATCGTTCGATTCAAGCGCTTCCTTAATTCTCTTCACACCTGTTGACTCTGGTACGATAAGCATCTATTTTCTATCAAAGGGTATGAAAAGCCTCACCCATGTATTGATTTAGTCCTTTCATTTCGAAGTCGACAAATTCGAACCCAAATTCTTGGCAAACGCCTTCCCAATCATCAAAGCTCTTGCTGAGTTGGGGAGTGTTCGATTGTGGCATTGCAATAGCAAGACAAACACCATCCCAAGTTAGCCCGCAGCCTTCTTTAGCAACCTCACTTACATGCTTCAAGAGGGACCTGATTTGATCGAAGCTTGGCTGGTCAAGAGGTTTTCTGAAGCAGACAACAAAGGCGCCTAGGGCTTGAAGAACTTCTTTGGCCTCGGGTATGAGAAATTCTGTAGACCAGCTCGACGGTGAGGTGATTTCATCTAGCCAAATGGGTATTGTTGTGGTATAGTAACTTGTTTTGATAGCCCAGTCATGAGAAGTACCAGCTACTGAGTCATTATTGAGGGGAGGTCGTGAACCGGTAAGACCTGGAACACTAGGGTGAGAGGGTGGAAGCTGAATAGATATTACACAAAGTCACCTTCGACAAAGTCAAGTAAGCCGTCTTCAGGTTGACTAACAGCGAGGATTCGACGAGGATTTTCTATTTCCATAATCGAATAGTTTCCACAGATCTCTAGAACTTCAATATTGTATTCTGGCATCATATCTCCTCGTGCTATGTCATTTGACGTATTGTGGCTAGCCCATACATTAAGATTGATTTGATTGGCCAGCTGCCTTGGACAAGGATGGAGGGATTAATAGATCTTTATTCGTGTCAAATACAAACCCAGCACTTAGAGCACAACGCAGAGAAGGCTTGCCGTTCCCTGACTACTATATACGAAGATAACTTATTTTGAACATCCTACACCGTGAATCAGTGTCACAGCAACAGGAAAAAGCTCTCAATGGCTATATAACTTCAGCTGCAATCTGAGTAAGCCGTTTAGATCCTCAATATCTGCTCTTACGCAGCGTTTGTAGTGTTTTCATTTTACAGCGTCCTACCTCCCGATTTCCTCGGCGTGTACTCTCTCTCTCCAAATCAGAACAAATCAACTCAATTGCCATGTAGATGGATACGCACACCTCACGTGGTCCCGGTGTCTAGGCCTCGCCTGGCTTGGGCTGCAGGTTTACGAGGCTATATCCCACGCACGCCGTTTCAATTGTGACCATTTTCGTGGGGCAAAAGGTTCCGTGAAAAAGGTGCTAAATTCCACGGATAAATATTGAGCTGAGTGGCTATTCATCACGGGCAATACATCAATGATCTTTCAAGAAAAATGAGAGGCAAGGAGCACCGTACAAGGTGTGGCCTGGGTCAGAGAGGAGCTCAATGTGCTAGATAGTCATAGACTCAAATAGTACAATAAATACACACACCAAACCAACAATTTACCTTTTATTTATTTGGCCGTACTAGCAGTGAGATGCCGTGGGAGTTTTGACCCGCATGTAGGGAAATAGTTTCTTACAAAATTCATTGGGAGGGATACACGCCATGCAACAGCCCTAATTTATACAAAAAAATTTAAATTTGTTCTCTGAGTGGAACAATTAAACGACGTGGCGAAGAGCAAGGTGTAATTTATTAGAGTTTATAATCATGTGATTATTTGTTCACATATGTTCATCCGTGACTCAAGCAAAACAAGGTCTTAAAAGTTGGCGTCACAAGAGATTTCCTCGGGTTTCGTTTACAACTGCATCTGAGTTATAAAAGTTTCGTTTTAGTTATGAGCAACTTATTCAACAATAAGGCTTTTGCCATCAAGGCAACGCCGGCCAGAATCAGAACTGAGAGGGTGCGAGGCAAGCCAAAACCAGTACCAATACTATCAAAGTCCAAGTCAAGCACAACGCTAAAAGAAGAAAATATTACACCCAAATGTATAGCCAAAAATCTTCAGACTTACTCTAAGGCAAAACTTTCCTCCGTCAAGTCTAGCAAATACGAGTGTACCCATGACAAATCCAAACGGAAATTACCACTACGTAGAACACCTGCTCCTCAGCATCCCCTCAGCTCAGACTCCAGCGACGCAGAATACGTCCCCGATCTTAAAACTCCAGCATGCACGCGTCAGAAAATGATAAAATATGCAAACAAGAAGCGAAAACTTAATTTAGAGGACGCTTTCTCGGTAAACCAAAGCGAATCACTCGAAATAATACATGCAGCAGATATTACAAGCGTTGATAAGAGGCCCAAGATGGATAGGAATGAATTTACTGCAGTCGTAATGGTCCAGGTTCAATATCCCAGTGCCTCTCAGCTTGAAAGGTTTTACCATGTACTTTCTTTCCATACTAGCTCATTATAAAGCTGACCATTTTCGACTAGATATGTCTTGATTCCCGGAGATAATTTCAATCCAGTTCAAGAAATAATCAACGTTATCACAAACGTACTAGAATTATATTTTTCAGAAGAACAGGAAATTCCGCTGAAAGGTCCTGATAATGGAATTATACGAAGATTGACAAAAGCTTACAACCTACACACAAAAAGAAGCTCAGATAATAATTTTCTAAAAGATTTCAAGGAGGCAGTAGAGGCATACAACTCCTCGTTACAAAGGCTACTGAAGGACGGCTCAATCGGCAAACGTCTTGACTCAACTCAAACATTGCCCCTTGATATGGTTGAGTGTATCCTCCAGCAAGTATATGCCCGCACTGTGTCACCAAAGGTCAATATACTGAAACAGTATGAAAACGGAACGGACAACATATATGGCGAACTTCTCCCACCTTTCATATCCAGAATATTAGCTGAAGCAAGCCTGACATGCGAAGATGTCTTTGTAGACTTAGGCTCTGGTGTCGGAAATGTCGTCTTGCAAGCTGCATTAGAATTTGGGTGTGAAAGCTGGGGGTGCGAGATGATGCTAAATGCATGTACGCTTGCAGAAGCTCAAAGTAAAGAGTTCAACGCTAGATGTAGACTGTGGGGCATCAAATCAGGTCGCGTTAATTTAGAATGTGGCGACTTCCTCGAAAATCCAAGAATTTTGGCCGCTATGAAAAGAGCAGATGTTATACTTGTCAATAACCAGGCTTTCACGCCCGAGCTAAACCAGAAACTGAAAGATCTTTTCCTAGATTTTAAGAACGGCTGTAGGATTATCTCACTGAAACCTTTTGTGTCAACGGGGCATCAAATATCATCTCGAAATTTGTGGGACCCAGCCAATTTGCTGGACGTCACAGAAGGAGAGTATCACAGTGGGTCAGTCAGCTGGACAGATACAAGTGGCACATACTACATAGCGCGAAAAGATGAGAAACGGCTGCATAATATTTGTGAAATTTGATCATCACTGCAGACAACGTCCTGACAGAGCTGTCGATACTGAGGTTCACAGGGTGAAAGATGAAAACGATGATATAGGTTATTTAGTTTGGCAACGTACTCACGATCAGCTCTATCTAGATTGGCAAGATTGAGTCAATTTTTAACGCATGATCATATCATATATAATAGTGTGCAATTAGAATCTAACCTGTTAGGTACTTTAATACTAGCTTTCGGCTAGTGTTTATTTCTATCTCCAACACACGGCATAAAAGTATTTATACTGAGGCATAATCACCTACTCGAATATGTGATCTATCACAACTGAACAAGGTCCTCTCGGGACGGCCATTAACCTTTCACTCTGGTGCTATAAATTTTTCCATCTAAAATAAGCTTTACCTAGTGATTGACCGCGCAAAATAACGTTGAGGACTTAAGGCATATAGAATGTGGTGAATCTGCACGCCTTATTACTACATTTACCCTACTCACATAAATTCTAAATATGATGGCATAAACTGCGCAATATTGTATCATTCAACCCATCCTTCGAAGTTCTTCACTGGAGAATTAAACCAGTATACATCATTTAGGTTTCTACCCAGTCTCAATCGTGAAGGCGTTTATTCATTTCATCGGCTTCGTGACTTTTCCTTATCAACCACCGGTCGATAAGAGACTTGTTTTCAGTCAAAAGATTTTTAGCTCTCTGTTCGGATAGATTGAGCTGCAAATGAAGGGCAACAACTTCATCATGTACATCCTAATTATATCATTAAATTGCTGAACCCTATGGAACATGATGGTCCTACATCTAGTAACTTTGTCTTTCCACGTAATTCTTCATCTCTATCGTTTAATTTCTGTTTCAAAGAATTCTGCTGTGCATGAAGCTCTTTGATGATACTCAGATCGGATTTAGTCTTCGCACGAAGTTTAAGAAGCTCCACCTCAACAGTCTTAATTCGTGAGTGGAGCTGCCCATTTGAACGTATAGCTTCAGCCAAGTCACTTCTAGATTGCAGTATTTCTTCGTTTACTGGTAAGGGGTCTAAATCTCCAGGCGGTTTAGTTGACTGGATGGCTTGTCTTGTGTTAGCTCTTTGTGTCTCAAGAGCCGATGTGCGTTCGAGAAGGTTCGTAACTACGAGCACATGTTAGCCATAAATTGCTGGCGGTAGTTTGAGGAGCATGCAGGCTTCAATGAGGTTGTCATCTAGTCGAGTGTAGTTAGCTTTCCTTTCTTGCTCACTCTCTCTCAGAGCTTGAAAATATTTGTCGCGCCAAGATGACATTGCTGACAATGGAAAGAGGTCGATATTCTTATTATAAATTTTCTTTTAAAATATTATGCTTTGAAGCTTCACAGTTAGTAGCTAGCTTGTCAGGCATTCTCTTTTAATTATAAAAAAGGTGCAAATCTTTGGAAGAGAAACTTTTACTGCTGGTTGATGAAGTGCATATCACGTCACGTCAGCCTCGGTATTTGTGTAAGCAATACACGTTCTTATGTGGGGTCTGAGCTAAGGAGGCGATACATGCAATGTGTCGCAGGGATAATCGGGTTGCCGGCCTGTTTTCAGCTAGGCTTATTGCTACAATACTACATGATACCTATGACAGTTCAAAACAACCTGTCGTCTCTCATCTAAAGACTCGATCGACTCAGAATAAACGCGGGTACATTATTGATTACAATCACCCTCATTCTGCACACTAAGTTACTCATTGACACAACTTCTCAAACAAAAACATACAACCACCGGCATCTCAGCTTACGTAGCCGTAAGCGCGATGGCTTCCCGAAAGAAAGTCCTACTCAAGGTTTGTCTCATTCAGGCGCCTATCTCTGTAATTGAAAGACTCCATCTAACCTTAACATAAGGTTATAATCCTGGGCGATAGTGGAGTTGGGAAAACGAGTTTGATGAATCAATATGTAAGTAAAAACTTCGCTTTTGAATCAAAGAGGCCGGCACATATGAAGCCAAAAACGATAACTAGTCTAACTTATAATTAGGTGAATAAAAAATTTAGTGCGAGTTACAAAGCTACAATCGGTGCCGATTTTCTAACGAAGGAGGTTCTTGTCGACGATAGGTTGGTAACTATGCAGGTAACATCATCTATATTCTTAGCCTGCACATACTGATGGTCTTAGTTATGGGATACCGCTGGACAGGAGCGATTTCAATCCCTCGGAGTCGCCTTTTACCGAGGTGCTGACTGTTGCGTACTAGTCTATGACGTGAATAACTCCAAAAGTTTTGATACACTTGACAGCTGGAGAGACGAATTCTTGATTCAAGCTTCCCCACGAGATCCTGATAATTTTCCTTTCGTAAGTTGTGTTTAACGACTATGAAGAATCCAAACTCAAGAGTGTCAAGGTTGTACTCGGGAACAAAATTGACATCGAAGGAAACAAAAGAGTTGTCGGTCGTCACCATATCCTCTTTACGATATAGTTAACAGTCATTTTAGATATCATCTAAACGAGCAATGACGTTTTGTCAATCAAAGGGCGGGATACCCTACTTCGAGACCAGTGCAAAGGAAGCCATAAACGTAGAGCAGGCCTTTGAGGGTAAGATGTTTCTTACTGCTTTAGTCAATGTCGCGGTCTGCTAACTACCTTATCATGAAGTGATTGCAAGAAATGCTCTCGCACAAGAAGAAACCGAGGAATTTAGTGGTGATTTTTCAGACCCAATCAACATTCATATTGAAATTGCCAGGGATGGGTGCCCATGTTAGTTTGGACTCGATAATATTGATTCATGGAAATACGGTTCGCCACTCGTATCTAAATTTCAAGAAAGGAGCGGAGAGTGCAATTTTTTATTCAGTCGTTCGTGTAGCGTGATCACATCATTCTATTTAGGGGCTTATAGTTTAAACGTTTAAGATAAACACGGCGCATTGGTGTCAGGTCAGCCTACAAGATACTGTTAAAAATAAAACTTCATGGGCTTTCTGTTATAAATCAAGGGTTAGATTACAACACAACCTCTGATGGTGCATGGAAAAGCCAACTTGACCATAGATTCAGGGGATAAGTACACATTGCACTGTACGTAAAAATATCGTGGCTTTTAAAAATTTATAAAGATATTTCAAATAAAGTTCAATAGGATCAGTTATAGAGATCAGTGGGTATCTGCTAAAGTGGAAAATCTATTATGGCGAATGATGAAATTAATGCTCTTTCATGATTCTTCGCGCAGACAGATGGCTCCGTATTGCTAGTTAATTGTGATCATAGATCCAAGAATCATTACCTCTTGTAGAATCTAATTTGTAGTATGAAGCTTGACCCTTTACTAATCAAGGCTACTTAACCATCGAAGCCCTTGATAATATACTTAAATTGGTGTTTTCACTAATATGATTGCCTTTGTTAATACTGATTTTATGATAAATCGTATTTCTGTAGACAGTGCAACAGACATGTTTTCTATGCAGCTGTGTCAGTCACAGTGGGCCAGATCAGAATTAAAGAGAATCTGCTGTCAAGACTCTTCCATCAATTTAGATTTAGCATTTATTGCACAGTTCGAGTCTGTAATTATAAGGCATACTGGGCTTATTTTTTACCTAGGCCACACCATGTACAGGGCTTTTATCCTCTTTTTTAACAAAATAATTTCCCAGATACAATGCCAGGGAAGAGCCGTTAAGCTCAGAAAAACTACGCAGAACTTGGCCAACGTATCAACCGCACCTTCTATCATAAAACCAATTGTCGCAACGGAATATGAGGGAGCGTTAGGAATTCTTACATAACCGCAGCCTGAACTAGACGAGGTCAGTAAGCCCATGCAGATCTCTCTTCCTGGTAAGATTGGGTTAAGTTTCCATTACAGCCCTATCTGGGTCTTGGACTATAGGGATCTTCTAGAATCTACTTGGAAGAAATTAGTTAGATCTGGTAAATACAGTCAGACCCCTGTTAAGACGATGTAATCGGCCCCGTGAAAAATATCGTCATATCGAGGATATCGCTTTAAAGTATTTGATTACTTAATCCAGCTATCTAGGCTGCTTTGTATATATGATGCCTCTTTTATACTCCCAATTGCCGTCTTCAATCGCTCTAGTACTCTCAAGGTCAGATTTCCCTCACTGTCTATGAGAGCACAAGTTGAATAAATTATTAAAAATACTCCAATGTAGCTAGACTCTATCACGTAGATTCTAGAAGTCCTCTATAGTCATAGACTCAGATAGGACTACAATAAAAAAGTCTATTAGAATATGATTCCTCTAGACGGGTAATACAGTAGTACTGGAAGTAGAATTGATAAAGTATAGGGTTAACAGAACGTGTATATTACTCTGCTCGCTCAGCATTCTAAGAAAGATGCTGCGACTGTTTTTTTTTTTTTGCATCAGATTTTAATTGCGTATGCAGCTATCTAGCTATGACACAATATCAAAGAAAAGTACAGAAAAGATGACTCAATTTACAAGAGGAGCACTCATGCCTCGGATTTCATTTGCAAGTACAACTGCGAAGTTATTGTGGCTTTTTCTTCACCCCAAGTCAACCCTCATCCGTGAATACCCACCCAGGGGAACGTCTCAAAAACCCTGAGTTATCCAGAGATGCCTCTATCATCTTTCAACTTTTCTCCGCGCGAAATGTAATCTGAGATGTCTCCTTCCCAAGTGGAGTAGGTGCCCAGGCTACTCAAACCATACCAGAGAACATCACCAGGAAGCGGACCACAACACCTTCCATCGTTTGCTTGTTTTTATAGTGTCAGCTGCACTCTCGCAAGCGAAGTCTTGGCGCGCACAAAGCTCAATTCGTAAAACTCCATGCCAAAATTCAAAATTCCACGCCCGGCGAAAACGTATCCCTCTTCTGCATCATCTTGTAAACTTGTCCTGATCCCTCTCACGTCCATCCCAAAGAGCTATCTCCCAGATTTGTGCTCCACGCTTTGCTTCCTCCGTCGGGTATAAATATCGGCGTGGGCGTGTATTTGGTGACCGGCTGAGGCCAGAGAAAGTCGACGAGAGGTGTGGTCATTGAAACGAGGATGTACTAGGTCGTACTTGTAGACTTGATGAAGCTTAGTTGAGAATCGGACTCTTTGGGAGTGAAAGATTGACATGGTGGAGTAATTTGAATTTTCGCCTCGTGGGCCAACTTCTTTGATATTGCGAAATTTGACTGAACTTGGCTCTGGGAGAATATTTCACTCCCAGGTTCGTAGAGGACACCGCGTACAGGTGTTCAGTCTTGCCCTTCATGCTGCGACTGTGCTCCTACTAATATGTGTTTACCAGCCTCGCCTACACGCTAATATGAAACTACTAATACAGGGTATATAAGATCTCCAAACGCCTTACCCATTTTACTATTGGGTAAACACTAATCACGGAGGGCAAGACTGAACACCTGTACGCGGTGTCCTCTACGAACCTGGGAGTGAAATATTCTCCCAGAGCCAAGTTCAGTCAAATTTCGCAATATCAAAGAAGTTGGCCCACGAGGCAAAATTCCAAATTACTCATCCACGTCGTTATTTCGCTCCCAACGAGTTTGACTCCTATCTTCGTCTCATCGAGTCTACAAGTACGACCAAGTACATCCTCATTCCAATGACCACACCACTCTTCGACCTTCTCTGGCCTCAGCTGGTCACCAAATACACGCCCACGCCGATATTTATACCCGCCGGAGGATGCAAGGCGTGGCGCACAAATCTGGGAGACAGTTCTTTGGGATGGATGTGAGAGGGATCTGGACAAGTTGACAAGATGATGCGAAGGACGGATATAACCTCGAAGGGCATGAGATTCCGAATTTTGGCAAGGAGTTTTTCGAATTGGGCTTTGTGCGCGCCAAGACTTCGCTTGCGAGAGTGCAGCTGACACTATAAACACAAGCAAACGATGGAAGGTGTAGTGATCCGCCTCCTGGTGGTGTTCTCCGGTATAGTTTGAGTAGCCTGGGCACCTACTCCACTTGGGAAAGAGACACCTCAGATCACATATCGCGCGGAGAAAAGTTGAAAGATGATGGAGGCATGTCTGGATAACTCAGGGTTTTTGAGACGTTCCCCTGGGTGGGTATTCACGGATGAGGGTTGACTTGGGGTGAAGAAAAAGCCACCATAACTTCGCAGTGGTACTTGCAAATGAAATCTGAGGCATGAGTGCTCTTCCTTAACGATGAATCATCTATTCTGTACTTTTCTTTGGTATTGTGTCATAGCTAGATAGCTGCATACGCAATTAAAATCTGATGCAAAAAAAAAAAAAAAAAAAAAAAAACAAACACTAATCACAACCAGGAGGACGAAGGCTGAACACCTGTCAGTGGTGCCCTCTACGAACCTGGGGGTGAAATATTCTCCCAGAGCCGAGATTCAGTCACGACAAAGGGTGAATTTGAGAGTTTTCGTCGAGTTGGCGATCGGGAGGAGTGGTGCTGGCAAATTTTTGGTCGAAAATCCGACTTGCAGAGATTTCACGACTGCACAACTCAACGAAATCAACCATCTACACCCCAGGTACGAACCGCAGATAGGCTATAACCTGTCTGATGTTCGTATCACAACAACCGACACTTTCAGGATCTTATTTTCTTTTTCTCTGGAAATTCATTCTCAGCCAAACTCATCTCGCGGCCCTCTCCACAACCATCTCACCACCTACAGAAGAAATCCCACACCTCCAAAAGCCAAATCGCCATCAAAGAAGCAAGAAGATGTCAGACCCTCCGCAACTGCCAGTCGCTGTGAGGGTACGGTCGAAATACCGGCCTCAGATGCGTCTTCACCTCGGCTAAGGGCACCAACAACTCGACCTGCGACGAATCGCCACCGATGAAATTCGTACAACATTTCGCCAGCACACCATCTAGGGCGTTCGACAAATGCTGGGGCACCGGTGACTCGTTTTTTAGCTCTCAGTCGCGTTTTCGACCTCCACGGTTAGGGGTACGGCAGCGACGGGGCAAGGCCGGAGGGGTGGACATTCTACAAAGTTTCTGGGATGACGAGATCGGCTGAAGGACAGAGGGATGCTGTATGAAGGAACTAAAAGGGGATATAAACTTAGGAGGCATTGGTGGGCGACTGGATGAGACCTCCAGTGAAGAAAAAGACCTCTGGATGAGATTAGGAGATGCTGAGATGAGCCAAAGCTGGTAATAAAGCGAAGGGAAAAGTTACAGATCGCGGAGGTGTCAAGGGCTCGGGCGCGTGGTGGCCGAGGCTGAGAAGGAATTTGCGCTTCGGTGCGCCAAAATGGGGTTTTTCTGGACGGTTGGACTTGACATGATTCAACACATGAGTGAAGTCTGAGGTGGTCCGGTCATTCAGGTGGGGCGAAGCTTATCTGTACTTCACGGTAGTTAACCTGATCCAGCCCGGCCCCACCCGTGCTTAAGCTCCAGTAGGAGTGCAACGGGAATCACTTTACCTAGCATGTAAATGAACAAGAACAAGAACAAGAACTAATCACAACCATAACTCCATGATGTTAAGGCACAGGGAGGGTTATGTTTGACCAACAATCTTATAGTTTAACAAAATCTAATCTAATGTCAAGGTCAGGCCAGTTTCCAGCTCGCAGTCGTAGCGCAGTAGTACTTGGAGCTTCGTCGAGTTTCGCAAAGGTCTTGCTCAAGGACTCGGAGACTGTGGACTTGCTTGATCGATGGCCGTACTCAGCTAGGAACCACTCAATGCACTGTTTTTGTGTTGGTTTTGGGACCTGGCGGTGCGCCCATCGTCGCA